GGGCTGTCTCTCAAGGCCATTCTCCACGTCAGATGCTGGTTGCAAGTTCAGGCTGTCACTGGGGCTCCTGAGCAGCTGCAGGTCGGAGCATCCCACAGCCTCTCCTTGGGTTCTATTAATTTGCTATGATGGCTCAAAAAACTGAAGAAACTCATTTACTCACTACATGAACAATTCAGTACAAAGGATTTCCGGGGGAATTGACGCATGGAGCAAGGTGTGGGGAGAAGATGTAGGGCTGCCAAGCCCTCTTCACGCCCGCCACTCTCCCAGCACCTTCACTCGTTCACCAACCCCAAAGTTCTCTGAACCCCGTCCTTTTTTGGGGGGTATGGAGGCTCTGTTAATTACGCATGACTGATTGGATCATCGGGGATCAATTCAACTTCCCAGAGGTCAGGAGACTGGAAGTTCCAACCCTCATCACATGGTTGGATCTCCCGGCAAGCAGCCCCGATTCTTCTTCGAAAAAGTCAGCTCATTAACATCCAAAAGCCACCTTTATCACCCTCAACACTTAGGAAGTTTCTAGAATCTTTGAGCTGTGAGTCAAGAATGTGAATGCAGACCAAATGTGTATGAGAAATGTATTTTGATCATCTGAATGGCAAAATAGATATTTCTTATAAATCAAAATATCACAGCATGTATCCATCACTAATATCGTAGTCCCACTGCCCTAAAAATCCTCTGCGTACTCTTCCCTTTTTCATCCACCTGCCTAAACTTCACATCTCCCCATTTTCTCCTTCTCCATAACCTCAGTTCTTTTACCTCCCCATTTCCTGTCTTATTCATACATCTCTTCCATTGGAGGCCTGGAGGTGACAGGATTTTCAAGTTAGTGAGTCTGTTGATAACAGGGAATAATGCTGCTTGTTTTGTGGAGCCAAGGACTCAAATCAATCATTGCGCTTGAATGTAAACAGGATGCTCTGCTGGCATAGAAGCCAAATAGGATATCAACGCAGTAATACGTTGCCTTTTTTGTTCTCATAAGCCTTAACCAACCTTAACTCACTTTTATGAGCATCATAATTATCTCAGAATTCCTGTAATATTTTGATGTTTTTGCTTTGATTTAAGGTTTCCTGGGGCCATTATAGTCTTCCTTTATCATTGGACAAATCTTTACTTTCATGCTTTGTTTATACACTTTAGCCTTATAAAGTAATTTCTCCGTATTTATGTGAAGCTTTCCCTTGGAAAACATACTTATAAAAATGAACTCACTCTAAGACCCTTCCAGGAAATGTATGAAACATATTTTAGTGGAAATCGAGAGCCCAGGATGGAGATAGAAAAGACCTCCAACTTTTTTCTTTGGTTTCTCACCATCTGTTTTATTCTGAATTTAGACAAAAGTTAATTGAGCAAAAGGGTGCTTAGTTGTCTCTGTGAAGGCAGAACCAGGGAGGCAAAGGCAATGTCTGGAGGCTGTCTATTTTAGTAAGTTTCAATGGATTTCATCTTGATCAAATTGTACTTCTGTGAAGTTGCTTGGCCTGCCAAACTCCTTGCCTTCTGACTCACCACTGAGGGCTTCTGTTTGGGAACACATAGCCTTCTCTGTCTGCTTCCCTTTTTATCCTTTTACAGTAGTTGCCCTGTGGCTCGAAAAATAAAGAACCAGTCTCAAAAGTTCATCAGTTGGTCTTTTGAGATTGAAAAAAGCAATAAATGTCCAAGTGAATGTTGGAGAGAATCCCAAGCTTCCACCCTGATGAACATTTCTACTCATCAGACCGCTGCCAGGACGGTGTGATTTCATACCTTACCTTTCAAATAGTTTTGCATTATTTAGTGGAGGACTCATTAATCACCTTGTCATTCTAGTTTTGTAAAGTCAGCATTCCGACCCCCTCAAAACTTACAACAATATGAGTTTAATGCCCATTTCCATTTAGCTTCTCAGGAACTCTCTCAGAGGCAGCAGGAAGCGCTTGCCTGCCTACTTTGCCTTTGCTCCGACTGCCCTCTGCTAGTGGTGCCCGCGGGCATGGGGATCCTAGGAGACAGACGCCTCACCTAGCAATTCAGACCCTTAGCGGCAGGGTCTTTGCCCCTTTCTTGTAAAATCGTAGTGATTTCTTTCACAGGCTGCCCAGATGATAGCAATGCAAAGGGAGTTGAAATTATAAAGTTGTTTCCATGGAGAGAAGAAGGTTAAATTATAGCAACCGTGGGATTCAAGCTATGCTATTTGTTTTAAAACTTAATTTTATGATGTAAATAGTATCTGTGGTTCTTCCAATTAAAAAAAAAATTCCCTTCAGGCAATGACTTTTTTTAATTTTGTTGCCCCTTTTTGTTTAACAGGTGCTATAATTTGTGTAATGTGACAGAGATAGCAGTGCTGGAAAAGAGGGTGAGGGTGTGAGATGGTTTGTTACCAGACATGGTCATTTTAGAAAAATGTGAACAAGCCATTTGTGACAACATGGATGGAACTGGAGGGGCCGGTGCTGAGTGAAAGAAGTCAGGAGAAGGACAATGCGGGGATATAGAGAAACAAAGCAAAGGACCTGATAGAACCAAACTATCACAAATCCTAGAAATATGACTGCAGAATTGAGGCTATCGGGGAAGGGAGAGGATTAGGACAAAGCAGGGAGGGGGCCCAATGGCCTGGGGCAAAGGACTATGGGTGCTTTTGTGGTGGGTGTGGTGTGGTGACATATATCTGAGGAGGTGTTGAACCTACACCCCTAAAGCTGGTTGTAAGCCAACTTTACCTCAATAATAAAAAGAAAAAAGAACATGTGAACCAAAGGAGATGACTAGATGACGTCATTCCCTCTTGCATGTAAGCGGGAAGCCATGTCACCACGCTTCCCCCCAATGCAAATACTATAGATCAACAGACAGGTGCAGCTTATAAAGCAATCTTGATAAAATATGACACTACTGACTTTGGGTTAGTTGTCTCTAGTTCTAGGAATAAAGCAACGAATGCCAGTGCTGAGCGTGAGTATGAGGATACTTGAGAGGCACCAATAAACGATAGCCCAGCTGGGCAGAGAGCTCGTGGGTCTCTGCTGCAGCAGGTTTTGATTCTCAGTATCTGTCTGTCTCTCCAGTTTTGGGAGTAGCATTTCCCCCTGTGACCTCAATCTCCTAGCAGATGTAAGAAAAGCTCAGATTTTTTTAATTTGTCCAGTTACATACTTGTTAGCATTTACAGCTATATGTATATATGTCTTTAAGCACTGCTTTCACTGCATCCTATACTGAAATTGTTGGGACTGTCTCCCACCCACCTAGCACCTACCTGCACTGTGTGTTACTACCTCTTCACAATGGCTCCTGAGATAGGTGAAATGTCACAATCTCAGGTGAGGTGAGTGAAGCTTTAAAACTGAAACAACCTTTTAGCCGGTAGCAGGGCCTGGAAGACCACCCTCCAGTGCAGGTGTTTCCCCAAAAGTCTGCAGTTACCTGGGCTTCCACTGGCTTTGCCCACACCACCTTTCAAAAACAGATCATAATGCATTGTCCTGTGAGTATATGTCTGGCAAGCTTCACATTGTTTTATGATCCCCTGTTTAATGTCTCCCTTTACAAATAGAGTGGTAGCTCCCTGCAGGCGGCCTGGCATTTGGCAAAGAGAAGATACTCGCTAACTTTTTGTTGAAGAATTAGGAGACATGAGAGAGAATATACCAAAATGTCAGCTTTAACTCTAGGAGGTTGAAATGAAGGTTGTAGCTGCCTCCAGAAAAGGCTGGGAGATGGGCCTTGACCCTAGGACTGGGGAGAGAAGAGAAATTGATGACCTATAGATTGATTGTTTCACCTCCAGAATTTTTTTTTATTTAAAGATTTATTTATTTATTTATACAAGCGCTGGGTACAGTCAGAAGCGCAGGAGGGTGAGAGAATTCACCAGAGCGGGGAACAGAACAGGCAGACTGATGAAGTACACTGCTGAGGGGAGCAGCAGGTGTGGCAGGAGAGGTCTGTGCACCATGTGGGAGCCTCGCTGGCGGCAGGGGATCAAACCAGCACTGCAGAGGCTGCGGCAGCTTCACAGCCCAGCACTCAACCGCTGCGCCACCAGGGGAGGCCCGTCACCTCCAGAATTTTAATTGGATTATCATTAATGGTACTGATAAACATTCTTTCCCTTGTTCAGTTCCGCACATTTCAGTTTTTTCTATTTGAATGTTTTATGATAGCACCTTTTACCTTTATTAAAAGACCAGTTTTAACCCTCTGAACAATTCGGTGTCCTCAGATTTTGACCCCTCAAAGTTTTATCAAAAACATAACTGAAACAGGGCCTCCCTGGTGGCGCAGGCAGTTGAGCGCATCGCTGTGAAGCTGTCCACAGCCTCCGCAGTGCCAGTTTGATCCCCACCGGCCGTAGGGCAACCCACATGGCACGGCAGACCTCTCCTGTCTCACCCGCTGCTCCCCTCAACAGTGTACTTCAGTCCGTCTGCCTGTTCTGCTCCCTACTCTGTCTCTGGTGAATCCTCTCACCGTTCTGCACCTCTGGCCTGTACCCCGGTTCTTGTATAAATAAAATAAATCTTTAAAAAAAACATAACTGAAACAAAAACTTTTTGCAATGTTTGATATCACAGTTGTTAATTTATCCTGACATTGAATCTACTTCTTAAACTAGTGCTCTCAATGTTCTCATCCATAAAATGGGAAAAATGATCCTTTGTTAAGTAACAGACCTTTCCTGAGGATAAAATTATCTAAAGCAAACAAAAGCATTTTGAACAATAGTGTGTAAATGGCAAGGTCCCTCCAGTTATGGGGAACTGAAACATGGGGTTGGTACATTATGCAGTATAGCCAGTTGTCTTGCAGTTGTTAAGGTAATTTGCTAGAATGAAACAAAGTACATTCAGATTTTGTGCTCCTTACTTACATTGCTAGCCTGTGTCAATAGGATTTTTTTTCCTTGTAATTTGGGTAAAAGATCTAAAGCTATATTCTACCTCGGCCCAGACAATGATAATACCTTGACCTTTGTTTCTCTGTAGGTGTTACAGAACATCTTGGACACTGAGAAAGATTATGCTAAAGAACTGCAGTCTCTTCTTGTTACTTACTTAAGACCCCTACAGTCCAATAACAAGTAAGATTTATTTTTTAAATCCCTTGCTAAATAAAGTGAGATAATGTTAGCATATGAAGTCATCACTCATGTCACTGAATAATTGATTTTGCCCTTTAGAAGATTTCCACAGATCACAGGTTGCCAAGAACATGGTCAAGGCGGTAGAATTGATGCAAGATGTTGCTTCTGGAGAGCTTGGCTTTCTTTTCCTTCAGGCTATGGAAGGAATGAGCACATTCACTTTACTGTCTGTCACAATTTTTATCTTGTACGTTTTAAAAGTGATAGAGCTGGTTTTACCTTACAGAAAAAGAACTTGCTGCTGTTTTTATGCAGAAAGTACACAAACTGGAAATTCACGTGCTTGCTCTGACCCTTGCTTGCCAGGGCAGAAACTCTTTCCCATGCACTGACAGTGCAAAGAGTGTGAATTCGTGAATGTTCGTGAAAGCAATTCAAGTCAGTATTTCACTCAGGCAAAAGTGAATGAGAAAGAGATGTTAAAACATCTTGTTTAAATAAAATGTTCAAATCCTCTTCTGGTCTTAGAAATCTGAAGTGATTGTCTGAGACCTGAACTGAAAATTTAGTTTTCATGAAAGCAAAATACTGAACATTCTTTTGTGTGCCTGTGTGTTTCTAGGCATGGCATATTCAACAAATAAATAGTGGCTAATACTGCATTCCTTTGTGTTTTTATTTTAATTGCTTAAACTTTACTAGAGAATATGCTGTATAAATCAGAGATTCTCACAGCCAGGCCACATAAGAGATGACCAAAGCTTCCCCTTACTGACGGGTTGCCTAAGCTATTGACTTCAGGCTTAAATAAATTTAAATATTTCACTTGTTTCTCCTTTTGTCCAAGCCATGCTTGCCTACGCATAACGGCTTGCTCAATTTCCCACTTGGTTATTTTCCCAGCACTATGGGAATGCTGCTTCATTATGAAAGGATTTTGTATTCCTGTGCATCTAAACATGGTCAACAACAAAGTGTCCTTTGTGATTATTATGCAAAAGCTGAGGTGTTCTGCGAATGCAGTTCTTAGACCTGAATGGAACCTCAATGAATCACTGGCTCTAGTGGCCTGCAAGAGATGGCAACCCCACTGGGGAAGAAAACCCACATCCAAAGAGGCTCACTGCTGTGCCCACCACAGCCAGTATGTGCCAGACTGGCACATGGTGTCTCCTGCCACCAAGAGAAATGTTCCCTCTGCTTCCTGGCGGTGCCCGGCAGAGGACCAGGGGGAAACTGAAGTGGCAACGTGGGAAGGGGAGCTGCTAAGAGCTCAAGGGAAGGAGTGACTGGTTACCAGTCAAGAAACATAAGAGGGAAGGAAAGGGAAAGAGCCAGAGCAGAGCCGTGAGCACCTGACACTTGCACAAGGTGGTCACAGGAGCGCCAGGGCAGCGCTGCGGGAGACCTGAGGGCCAAGCGCCTTTCCCACGCGCCAGCTCGCCAGGCTCTTGCTGTCGGTCTCCACCGCACTCTGGCTTGTAGACGCCAGTGATTCGAGCAAGGCAGTTTATTCTCTGACCCCAGAGGGGTCAAATAAGGCCCCAATCAGGTGCAGGTCCTCCCTTCAGTCAGGTTCTTGCTGCTATGAGAGAGGGAGCCAGGGGAGCAGGCTGACGCTTTCGCTTTTGACCCCCCAAAAGGGTTTTTCCAGCCTGTGGCTCAGGAGGGCATTACAGCAGAGGAACTGGGGGCTTTTCATCCGCCGGGCTTGCTGGCGAGGCTTGTTCTCCCTTTCTCTTTGTCAGCAAAGATGACTGTCTTGGAAACTCTCCCTTAGGATTATTATGTGAAGGAGAAAGAACCCGTGGCAGACACTGGCCTTTTAAGGATATCTTCAGGAAAGTTCTCTCCAGCGTGGACCCTGGAGCGAGAATGTGTTGGTTCTAATTCAGCCTTTGCCAGTCCCTGGCTTGGGACTTGGGGTGACTTGGGGTGATCTGCTTAACCTCCCTGTGCCCGGGTTTCCTGAAATGTACAACGGAGGCAGCGCTAGTCCTACCCGTAAATTTGCTCTGGGGGCAAAATGAGTTTGTGGCTGTAAAATGCTCGCATAGGTGTGAAGAGCAGCATGAGCGCTGCTGGCGTCATTATTGCCACCTCCTCTTTGGCGGGGTGAAGGGAGAGTGAGACGGTTCTTACCACAGAAGCCCTGGGTAAAATTGTTCTGTTGCTCTTTATGTGACCCCTGTCCCCTCCAAATGCAAGCACGACACGTCACTCCTATCTTCTTCCCGCCCCCTTCCTCTGAAAGATTTCCTTTCGTTGACTTAGGAGCATCTTCATTTAGGATAAACTGGATTTTGCTATTTCTCCCCGTTCTGTATATGAACAGCTAGCAAAGCTCTCAGTGACTTCCCCAGTTCCTTCCGAAGGGAGCACGCAAAAGTTTCTACTTAGTCCCAGCATCCGTGTACTTCGCCTACTTCAGCGCTTAGATATGAAACACTTATTATTCATTTACTTGCTGCTTTGGAAAATACCTAAATGCCCCTTAACACTCATTTTCCTTGGGCTCATTTTTCTTACTATAGAGAAGGGACATCAAGGAAAGAAGCTTTGGAAAGTTGCTTGAGATCACAGAGGCGGTAGAAGTTGCAAAGCAACGCTTAGAATCTAGGGGCTGCTTCCCTCGTCCGCTTTGCCAGTGATTTCCCACCAATCAGCTCCCCAGACTGGGAATGACTAGACTCCTCCTCAGGTTCTGCTCACTGAAGCTACATGCCTTTTTTTTTCCCCCCCCAGCCTGAGCAGCGTGGAGTTTACATCTTTACTGGGAAACTTCGAGGAAGTATGCACGTTTCAACAGACACTCTGCCAAGCCTTGGAAGAATGTTCCAAGTGAGTGTTGCGTATCGCCACGAACACAGCCAACGGTGTTAGTTGCTTGCATTTAGTTTTCCTCTTAAGTGCTGTCTTAGATAGGGCACGGTTATATTTATGCATTTCTTACCGCTTGGAAATTTGTGCCAGTATGGAGACAATGCACGAGGTGGTGGCGGTCACAGAGTCACAGCACTCGTCCATCGGGGCCCACATCTAGTGAATTACTTGTGACTTCATGTAAAAGTCATATTGGATCACTGCTGCTGGTCAGCGGGAGAGGCAACTAAGGTCTTAATTGGCCATAGATCATACCTTTGACATCGATTTTCTTTTGTACATTAGAATTGCCTGGAAAAGTTATTCAAATGGTTCATTTTGTTTCACCAGCTGGCTTTTCTCTTTTAGTCCCTCCTGGTATGTTATTATATTAAAGTTAAAATTCATAAAAGTGGGGAAGCGAAAAGTGTACTTGGATGTGAACCACCACACGTTTTTGTGGGCCAGCTAGCGCCCAGAGGTGCTCAGCTTCATCCTGCAGGCCCTACATTTCTGTAGCAAGATTCATTTTCTAAGCAGATCTTGGAGAAGTTATCGACTTTCACTGTCCACAGGGGAACTAGGGTCTGTTTTTGAGCTTTAGGGGACACAGATGCCTGGTTGCCCAGGGAGGGAGGTGGGGAGAGACACAAAGAGACCCCCGAGGAGCCACTCCCGATGTCGAGAGGGATCCAGATTACTGACGTGGAGAGATGTTTACTAAGTGGCAATAGCAGATTGCAAACCAGAGATATAATCTTTGTTTTCCATTTTATAGAGAAACATCTAGAAGAAAGTTCAAGGAATACGCCAAAATTGTTACACTAGATGTCAAATCTGAGTATTTTTTTTCTTTCATGTACTTTTCTGATTTTTCTACAGATGAAAGCAGGTGGCTTGTAATTCAAAAAATCAATTTAAAGAATCTTGAGGTCACTCCACCTACCAAGCACTATGTCGCCTGGACTATATGATATTTCTTTGCAATGTGTTAATTTTTAGATTTGGATAGTTATGTTTGTACTTTGAACTTCACATAAATTAACCAAGAGTATTTGTAGTGTGCCCAGCTAAATTGAAATATTATAATTTAAAAATATTATAATTTAAAATATTATAATTTAAATATTATAATTATAATTTAAAAATATTAAATTTATATTTAAATTAGACACGTACCTACTCATTCTAAGTACGTGTCTGACCCTGTCTATTGGAGCTATTTGGTGGCTAGAGTTTGAAGCAGTGGTCAAGAACTTTACTTCATGGACAAAATGGTTGTAACACAGCTCCCCTTTGGCAAAAAGCTCGCATGTTGTATGGTTTCATTGAAAGCATCTTCCTTTATCCCTTCTTTCTTATTTTACATTCTGTGTTTCACTTGTTTTGCCTACAGGTTTCCAGAAAACCAACACAAAGTAGGAGGTTGTCTACTTAACCTCATGCCTCATTTTAAATCCATGTATCTGGCATACTGTGCAAATCATCCTTCAGCTGTAAATGTACTCACCAGCACAGGTAAATCTTTAACATCCCCCCTCCCCCCAAAAAAAGACTTCTCCAGTAAGATCCTTTCCTAGGAGCCCTCCTTAGGAGATGCCAGGTCTCCAATTGAACTGCTGATCATCCTCATTCCTCTTGCCAGGAAATGATTGATTGTTACATGGATTGATTTTTCCATAATATTTACTGAGTATCTACTTTGTGCAAGGTCAGGCGCAGGCTGGTGGGGATACAAAAGTGAACAAGATAGCAAATGTCCCTCCCCTCTGGAACACAGAATCTCGCCCTCAGACAGGAAATTCCATGTTGTAAACATGTTGTCTTACCAAAGGGTGATTGAAGGGACCTTGTGAGGCTTTGCAACCTGGTATCAACTTAGTGTGGGGGTGAGGGAAGAACAGAGAAGGCTTTCCTGAGGTGAAGTTCTATTTAGATCCAATGCTTTGGCCTTCCCCTACCCCCAGGAGAGTTTCATCCTAGTGGCTGACAAATGGCCAAACTGTTCACTTTCCCTTTGTCTGGTGGAGGAAGTCTCCATTAGTGCTGTGGTTAAGGCAGTTATTAGGAGGGGAAGGTGGAAGTGCTAGTGGAAACTAGCACTGTGAACTGTGTGTTCAGGTACTTTAAGCAAAGGGCTCTGATAAAAATTTGCATGAACATAAATTTCCAGATGCATGAAAAACAGCAAAATAGTGTTTCCTTTAAGAGTCCACATAACTTCACATCTCTCCTATCCTTCCTCTCCTTCTGACTACCCACCCCCGACATGGTCACTGGCACATTTGTCTGGGCCAGAACACGGTATGACAGACTTGAAGATGTGCTTTCAGCTTTGAAGGGCATGTGCTAGAAATCCAGGTGGGGCCATAGCGAGGACAACACATGCAGGTTCTTGTGGCAACCTGGAGACTAGACTTAGAGTGGGCTTGGATTCTGGTGGCTGCTCAACACTGACAAGCATATTCTCTTAATCTGGTCAAGACTTAAACTTCCAGAACCAAGCTAGAATACTGCTTGTCACCAATGCTCAGAAGTGGTGGAAATTTTGGGTTTTGTTCTAGTTTGTTAGGAGATGTCTTGGCTTTTATAAGAACTGTTAAATAGAGAGGTTTCAAAGGTAAAATTCAGTAGATCTTACTTGAAGCTCAATTTTATTCCTGTGATCAAAGTGGAGGACTCTTGAGGGACAGTGAATATGGACGTTGGAGTCTAAAGAAAGAGTAGCTATGAAGCTGGACTATTTGGACTAGTGACTACACTGCCTGGAGCCAACATTAGCTAATAATAACACTGACAGTGTGCCAGGCACATGATGGATGAGCCTGTGAGGGAGTTACTATTATTACCTCCTCTGCTTTACAGATAAGACATTGAAAGGTTAAGTCATCTGACCAAGAACTCATAGCTGTTAAGTGTTAAGCCACAATTAGAATCCAGGTCTGTTAGACTTGTCAATTTTTTTTTCACTTAGGTATGTATTTTACATGCAAAGAGAATCTAAATGCAAATGTAAAGGGTGGTAATCTAACGAGCACACATGTACCCACCACCAAGCTTAGAAGAATAATCATTGCCATAGTCTTTTGTATATAACTGCTTTATCAACATGAAATTTGCATACTATACAGTTCACCTGTTTAAAGTGTACAGTTAAATTATTTTTAGTAGGAGGAGGGGTGGGAATAGGTCTAAAAATTATTTTTAATATATTCAGAGTTGTGCAACCTCACCACAATCAATTTTAGAACATTGTCATCACTCCCCAAATAAACCTGAACTCATTAACAGGTGCTTCCCGCTGGTAATCTAAGGCAACCATGAAAATACATTACATTACTATGGATTTGCCTATTCTGGACATTTCATTTAAGTGGACTCACAACACATGGTCTTTTATGTCTGGTTTCTTTCACTAAACATAATGTTTTTGAGATTCATCCACATTGTAGCACTTATCAGCACTTCATTTTTTAATTTATTTTTTTAATGAAAAACCTTTTTTTAAAATTGTATTGCTGTTTATGGAGGGTAACGTTGGTTTACAACACTGTGTATGATTTAGGGATGTGGGGGTCACACCTCTTCTGATGTATGTCACCACACCACACCCACCACCAAAGTACTTCATTTTTCAACTTGCCAAAAAAAATATTCTGTGACACAGATACTGCATAGTGTTCTTCCCTTTGCCTGTTTATGGACAGGGATCGTGAATGGGGCTGCTGTCAACATGTATGTGTGAGTCTTTGTGTGAACATAACATCTTCATTTCTCTTGGGTAAGTGCCAAGAGAATTGCTGGGTCATCTGGTAATTCTGTTTCACTTTCAGAGGAACTGTTGGATTGTTTTCCAAAGTGACTGCACCAATTCTCACCTACAATGCATGAGCCCTCTGTTTGCTCTGTATCCTTAACATTTGTTATTATCACTCTTTTTTTGTTAGCCCATCCTAGACGGTGTGAAGTGATACCTCGTTCTAATGTTGACTTAGATTTTTCTAATGATTAGTAATGTTGAGTATCTTTCATGTGCTTATTGGAAATTTGTACCTTTTCATTTGGAGAAATATTTATTCAGATTCCTTGCTTATTTTTAGATTGGGTTATTTGTCTTGTTGAGAAATGACTCACATAGAGCCTCCCTGGTGGCTCAGTGGTTGAGCGCTGGGCTGCGAAGCTGCCCGCAGCCTCTGCAGCACCAGTTTGATCCCCGGCCGCCAGCGAGGATCCCACATGGTGCGCAGACCTCTCCTGCCGTGCCCGCTGCTCCCCCTCAGCAGTGTATTTCATCAGTCTGCCTGTTCTGTTCCCCTCTCTGGCTCTGGTGAATTCTCTCACCCTCCCGTGCTTCTGACTGTACCCAGTGCTTTTATAAATAAATAAATAAATAAATCTTAAAAAAAAAAAATCAGTTATATCTACTACATTAATAATGCTGCTCAGGGGCCTCCCTGGTGGCGCAAGGGGTTAAGACACAACCTATGAAGCTATTTGCAGCCTCTGCAGCATGAGTTCCATCCCCGGCCAGGATGCTGACCCACATGGCACAGCAGACCTCTCCTGGCTCTCCCACTGCTCCCCTCAGCAGTGTATTTCAGTCAGTCTGCCTGTTCTGCTCCCCACTCTGTCTCTGGTAAATCCTCTAACCCCCACCCCTGTGCTTCTGGCCTGTACCCCAGTTCTTGTATGCATAAATAAATAAATCTTTAAAAAAATAATGCTGCTCAGTTCAACTATATTCTTAACTAATTTTTGATCTGTTGGATCTGATGATTCCTGATAGAGCAATGGTGAAGTCTCTAACCAGAACAGTGGATTTATCATTTCTCTTTCAGTTTTATCAGTTGTTACCTCATGCATTTTGATGTTCTCTTGGGTGCATTCACATTAAGGATTGTTTTGTCTTGTTGGAGTATTGGCCCTTTGTCTCTGTAACGCTTCCTCTTTATTTTTCTTGTTCTGATGCAAGGTTTTTCTGAACTTACTGTAACTAGTCCCATTATCTTTTTTTTAAAAAATTTTTTTTTGTTGAGGTAACATTAGTTTATAACACTGTATTGGTTCCAAGATGGCGTTTTCTCACCTCACTCGCCACCAGATATCCACTACCAACCAAGACACCCCTTTTGCCCAGCTATCTTTTGATATTGCTAATATATCTATTTACAGTTTGTTTCTTTTTTAAATTTTTATTTATTTTTTGTGTAGAAGAACTGGGGTGTAGGCCAGAGATATGGGGGGGTGAGAGGATTCACCAGAGACAGAGTGGGGAACACAACAGGCTATTGACTGAAATACACTGCTGAGGGGAGCAACGGGTGAGAGCCTGTTTCTTTTAATCTGTGTCTTGTAGACAATAAACAGTTGAGTTTTGTTTTTATACCCACTCTGACAGTTGCTGTCTTTTAATCGGCATATTTAGACCATTCACATTTAAAATCATTATTGATGCAGTTGGGTTAATATCTACCAGTTCTTGTATGCATAAATAAACACACCTTTAAAAGAATATCTAAAAGAATATCTACCATGTTTGTAACTGTTTCCTATTCATTGCACTTTTTGTTTCTTTAATACCCCCTCTTACTGCTATCGCTGTATAATTACATATTTACCTGACCTTATTTTCTCTTCTTTCATTATGTATGATAATTCCTCTGAAAAAATTTAGTGGCTTCCCTAGAGTTTGCAGATCCCCTACTATCATCCTGTTGCTCTCCATTTCTCCCTTCAGTTTGTCAATGTTTGCAATATCAGTTCCCTTGAAGAGCAAGCCTTTGCATGGAGAAATATTCTGGGAGCATTATATAATGGTTATTTTTCTCTACCCTTCTTGAAACACAAGGGGATTTTTCTCTGATCTTCATTATGAAAATGTGTTTGGGTTCCTGGATGCAAAATCCACAAAAGTTTTGGGGTCCCCAAGACTGGGTCCCGGAACTTTTACCTGTCAAGTTGTTCCACACTCAGAATCTTGCAATTCATCAAACTTACCACTGAAGTGTCCCTACCAGTTACTGGCCACGGTGACTTCTGACCTCTGCTCTAATTTGCTCTATCTGTCTTTCTAGATTTTAGGGTGGTAATTTTGTCAGTGATCTCAATTCTCAGTGGATCCTAGAAAAACCATTGGTACTCTATTTGTTTAGTGTTTCCTCTTGTTGTGAGGAGAGTAATGATTACTTCCAATTGCTTGCCAGAGTTGAAACTAGAATTTCTTTAATAATTTTTTGAAATAATTTTTAGCATTTGTTGTGAGTCTTTCCATATATGTCTTAACTTGTTTGAATCTACTTCATATTCACATTAACATAATTCTAGTGAACTATAAAAATATTACTCTTAGTATAGCTCTATTTCCACTTCCCTTTTCATGTTACAATTATACACATTACATGTATATGTTAAAACCCAATTTTACATCATCATAATTATTTTTTATATTTATTAATGAAACTGAAAGAAGAAATAGGAACAAGGATATATTTATAGCATTTGTTATGGTAACATTCTTGCTTACCATTTGTTTATCTCTGTTTTTTCCTGTGGCAGAATTACTATCTGGTATCATATCCTTATTCTAATAGAGCAACATTTCCACCCCTTCCAGTGTGCTATAAAATATTTCTATATTTTATAGGCCCAACACACAAAGATAAAATATTACTTTTTACAATTATTTTTCTGTTAAAAGAAGAAGAAATATGTATTAATATGTTTTTCATCATTACATGATTTTCTGCGATGTTTTAATATGTAAATATGAATTTACATCTGATTTTACTTAATTTTATCCAATAACTTTAGTATTTCTTGCAAGGTGGGTCTTTAGCAAAGAATTCTCTCAGTTTTTGTTTCTCTGGGAATGTTTTCATTCCACCTTCATTTTTCAAAAAAATTTGGATGAATACAGAATTCTTTTTTTTTTTTTTATAGAGGCATGTTTTATTTATTTATTTATTTGTTTGTTTGTTTGTTTATACATACACTGGGTACAGTCAGAAGCGCGGGAGGGTGAGAGAATTCACCAGAGCCAGAGCGGGGAGCAGAACAGGCAGAAGGACCGAGGTACACTGCTGAGGGGAGCAGCGGGCGGCAGGAGAGGTCTGCGCGCCATGTGGGACCCTCCTCCAGTGGCCGGGGAGCAGCCGGGGATCGAACCCGCGCCGCAGAGGCCGCGGGCAGCTTCGCAACCCAGCGCTCAACCGCTGCGCCACCAGGGAGGCCCTGAATACAGAATTCTTGATAGGCAATTTTGTTTCTCTCGTTACTTTGGCTATGATCTCTTATGCCTTTCTGAGCTCCACTAATTCTGGTCAGAAATTAGCTGTTCATCTTATTCACATTCCCTATCTCATGATGACTTGTTTTTTCTCTTCCTCTTTTCAAGATTTTTGTATTTCAGCAATTCTATAATATTTGTGTGTATGGATCTCTTTGCACAATCCTGTTTAAAGTTCCCTGAACTTCTTGAATGTGCAGATTAATATTTTCCTCAAGTTGGGGAAGCTTTCTGTCACTATTTCTTCAAATATTTTTTTCTGCTCCATTTTCTCCCTCCTCCCCTTTTGGTTTGCTCACCATGCATATGTTGTTGTACTTAAATATGTCCCATATTTGTGTTTTTTTTTTAAGATTTATTTATTTGTTTGTTTGTTTATACAAGAACTGGGGTACAGGCCAGATGCACGGGAGGGTGAGAGGATCCACCAGAGCCAGAGCAGAGAGCAGAACAGGCAGACTGATAAAGTACACTGCTGAGGGGAGCGGCGGGCGTGGCAGGAGAGGTCTGTGCACCCTGTGGGACCCTCGCCTGGTGGTCGGGGATCGAACTGGTGCTGCAGAGGCTGCGGGCAGCTTCGCAGCCCAGCGCTCAACCGCTGCACCACCGGGGAGGCCCAAAGATGTCCCATATTTCCCTGAGACTCAGTTAATTTTTCTTTATTCGTTTTCTTCTTTATTTTTTTGCATAATTTCTATCAATTTCTCTTTAAATTCACTGATTCTTTCACCTACAGTGAAAATTGAAATTTCAGTTATTATATTTTTTAATTCAAGAATTTTCTTTTGGTTCTTTTTCTTTTTTTAAAAAATTTTTTAAAAGATTTTTTATTTTTTTTATTTATTTATACAAGCACTGGGTACAGTCAGAAGCGCGGGAGGGTGAGAGAATTCACCAGAGCCAGAGCGGGGAGCAGAGCAGGCAGAAGGACCGAAGGACACTGCTGAGGGGAGCAGCGGGCGGCAGGAGAGGTCTGCGCACCATGTGGGACCCTCCTCCGGTGGCCGGAGAGCAGCCGGGGATCGAACCGGCGCTGCAGAGGCAGCGGGCAGCTTCGCAACCCAGCGCTCAACCGCTGTGCCACCAGGGAGGCCCTCTTTTGGTTCTTTTTAAAATAATTTTTTATCTCTTTAATGATATTCAGTGTTTGATGGAACGTTGTCATTGGAGCTTCCTTTATTTCTTTAAGCATAGTTTCCTTTGTTCTGGTAGCACATTTATAATAACTACTTTGAAGTCTTTGTTCAACCTGGCATTTATTTTTATGTTGTCTTTTTCCCCCTTGTTATATGGGTCACACATTCTTGTTTGTGTGTCACATAATCTTTTGTTGACAACAAGACACTATATGCAAGTTTAGATTTAAGAAATCTGGATACTGACTCTCTTCCCCTTTCCTCTGGAGTTTGATTTTGTTTATTTGTTTAGTAACCTGACTAAATTATTTTAGTGGGGC